TGCGGAAGACTATTCCCCTGGAACCTATATCCCCATTTCTTTCCAAAAAAGAAGAACAAAAGATAAGTTTTAACTTGGTGTTGATGCAATATTCACCCCACCCAGAACACTGTAACCAACTTTGAAAGCTCATGTAAAAAACATGAAGAGTAATTTTTACTTAGCTCTTGTTATGAACAATTCAGAGATAAGAAACAAGGCAAGACACGTCTCAGCTGCAAGTGTGAACATGATCTCAACACTGCAACATTTTCCTTGCCTGGCTGGAGATGGGTTGGCAGCATGAGGTATATGAAGGTAGGTTACAGGTGACAAGAATGTAAAAAGCCTATTATTAAACTAGGTGTAAAGCAGTCTTGAAACTTCATTAGGGGCAGGGAATTCAGCCCTGGACATCGCACCTGATTATTCACTAGAAATTAACACTAAGCAAATGCTGTAAACTTGAAGCTAAGTTGGAGAGGATTCAGGTGCAGCTTTTCCTGCCCTCTGACTGGGCAGAGGATGGAAAGCAGGCTGTAGCATGGACAAACTCCATGTGCTTTCCTCTGTCAGGAGAGAACTGAAGTCTTCTTCATCACAAGTTTTCACCAGGTGCAGAGGACAGGGCATTTGCTGCCTTCCAACTGCAACTATAGGAGTGAACTGCAGAAATGCAGTGTGGTAGAGGTGCATTTGAGCACTGACCTATTTTTGTTCATCTGCCATGGGAGAGACATGTGGAAACACTGTGGTTTGATGGGTTTGATTAAAAATATGCTAATGAATAAAGAAAATTAAGTGCATCCCTTGGGCTCCTGGCAAGCTGCCAAGACAGACACCGGGACCACCAACGGGGGGTCCTTATGCTTCAGCTTTTGCAATCCTTCAGATTCCTACTGCAGAGGATGGTGATCCAACGGAAACAGGGCTTAAAGTTGAGTGGTTTGTGTGTCCTGCCTCCACTCCTCTCCAAATGCCACAATATTTGAAAATTTATGCCCCAGGTGCTGGAATCAACAAGTATAAGAACATCCTTGTTTTCACTGAAAAAAAAAAATACTTCTACCATCATTGTTGAAGAAAGCAAGCTTGCAAACATGAAGCAAGTGCACTCAAAAGGCTTGGAAACAAAGAGACTGTGAAAGAGAACTCCAAGTTCATTTTCTAAAGCATCTCATTATTTCCAAACCAAATGTAGTCTTGGAGGCCTGAATTATGGTTTTCAAGCTCCTGAGGCAAAGCTACAAATGTGGCCTTTATTCCCACGCAGGAGAAGCTCTGCCTGCCCTCCTCCCTCCATACTGTTCAGGGACAGGAGGAGGGGGGGAAGGCAAATCAAAACAACACAAAACAGGCACAGCGTTATCCTCTGCTCCACAACTGTTTGCTGCCCTACCATCATAGCTCAAATGGATTTACTCAAGGTACCACATAGGAACGCTCTAACCTGGCTGCAGGAGTAGGTGAATCACTTGCTCTGCTGCTGTTCCTCAGGTAGGAATCAGCTCTCCTTAGCAAAGTCTGAAGTGTCCAGTGCTCCCAGTGCTCATAATCCTTCTGTGGGTAGTTGTTCTTCCCATAGCCTGACTCACTCTCCATTGTCCTGCAGTCTTCAGAGCTGGAACGGGGTAGCTGACGATAGCTGGGGCTGCAAGTGCCTGTCATCCAGTGGCACTGCTCAGTACCTAACTGGAGTACAGTCATTAGGAGTGAAAGGGAAGAGTGGCTCACGTTTAGTTAAGCTGTCTGAACCCAAGTAGAAATAGGAAGATTTGAAACCCTACTAGTAAAGATGATCATCCAAGGACAAAGAACCAAGCAGGCCTATGGAAGAAATGAAAACTGAGACCCCAAAGTGAAAGAGGGGCTTCTGCAGCCAAGACCAGGGTGCTAACTAGAAGAATAGTTGTACTTAAAACCAAACACCTAGTCCACCCTGCAGGCATTTGTTCAGCAACCTAGTGGGTTTTGGTTTTCATATCTGCACCTCCCAAGCAGGAAACAACATTTTAACTTCTGATTTCTGAATCCTGTTGCTCTAAGCAAGGATCCTTCTGTCAGGGAGGTCTGTGTCTGACCAGGATCATCTCTCTCAGGTTCTCATCAGCTCTTCTAAAATTGAAGAGCCAGACAAACTTTTAAGAGCGAAACTGCAGGCTATCTTGGGCAATGTTGCCATGATGGTTTTTATTTAGAAGCAAGAAAGAACTTGGCTATTTTTTAGATAATTAGTCCTTCCCCCAGTCCACAGCTGTTTTCCTTGTTTACACCTATAGAAGTGTAATGGCGTCATTTTGTGGGGAGGGTAATCATGTTACAGAGCGCTCTTACAGACCACAGGTTGAGAAACACTCATCCAAACAGCAAGTTCAGTTTGTTCTATGTGTTTTCCTTCTAAAACCAAAACAGAGCACCATTAAACAGTAGGGAGTAGCTTTCCTTGTCTCTCAATGCTACATGTATGCACAAGTTTGTCCTTGAATTCAGGTATTTGGCCTATGAAGCCAACATGCATAAAGCCTCCAATACCCTGAACACTAGACTTTAAAAACAAACTCTATAAACTCCGATTATATCAAAAACATGATTCTGCCTCAAAGCCAAGTAACAAAGCCCATTGAAAGGAACTTACTGTAAACCCTGGAGATTAATCAACTTTATCAGGAAGGCAACCGCAGAGCATACAGTCCCAGTCTCACCTCAGCATTTTACCTCCAACTTCTTTGGAGTTACAAGGCTTAAGGGGCCATTTGCTGGTATTTCCCTCATATTCCCACAACAGACACCAAGCAGTTTGTAGTCTGGAGGAAGGAGAGACTGGGGTGTGTGTGTGTGTAAGATTTAATTTGTATATTCCTTCCCGCCCCCCCATTAAGGCTTTATATTGCAAAGAAAAAATAGCATCTTTAGTCAACCTTAGAAACAAAATGCTTTGTGAAATACTGCACAGTCCCATGGAACAATAAGTATTCTTTTTGGCATGCAAATCAGTGCTCAGTGAGCAGAACAAACTTACACTTGCAATGCAAACTGGTTTAATGCCATAGAAATCGTAAAGCCACCATCCTCATGAGAAATCAGGTGTTCTGCTGCACACTAGAATGTTTAGGCAAGAATTAACATTAGCATTTGCATGCAAAAGGAAAATTTTAATTTAGAACAAGATCTCCTGCTGCATGAGAGAATCATACAGCAGAGCAATGAGACTAGAATGTATTTACTGTGGATTTCTACATGTAATTCACGTTGCAGATTAATAGCAGCTACTTGTATGCTCATCTGAGCATGTTGAACAGCCCCTCTCCATGGTAGAGCTTCTAACTCTTAAAGCCACAAGATGGAGCCAACAGTTCTTGGGAAGAGGTGCCTGTACCATCCCAGGAACTTGCAGAGCATTTAGTACACAGAAGCCATGCTAGTTAAGTGTTCCGGCTGGGGCAGAACACAGGCAAGTAAGCTTGGCTTTTGCCTTCAATGTATGTGCAATCATTCTCCAGTTTCATCCTGCTGCAATTTAAGGAAGGCCTGTTCCTCACAAGCATCCACAGAATATCTGAATGTGCCTCCTGCACCACCCTTTTCACGCTACCCTTTCCCTGCCGCAGAATATTTTAAAAATTGCTTCACTGTAAGGGAGAGCAACATAAACCATTGTCAATCTGAAACACAGAGCAAACACCAGGCAAGCACCATGTAAACAAGATTATGTAAATTGCTGTAATCCTTGGCCAGAAGTCATCAGCTAGGGGATGTTCCGCTCCCAACTTGTATGGCAGCAGCAGAAACTGCACCCAAAGTTTACTGTGAATCCCATTTCTATGCCACTCCAAATTAAGTGGCTAGCAGTGCAGTGAGTCTGTCCTGAACCATCCTGCCTCAGAGGCATCTCAGCTTCTCTGCTGCATTTGTTCATCGCTAACCAATGCGGAGAACGGACCCTGGCACACCCAGGAAACTAAGGATCAGTATTTCCACACAGCATTGCTTATTCTGTTATTTGAGCCACGAGACTGACTGAAGAAAGCAACTCTGATCTACACAGTTGATACAAGCTGTTCAATCCAACTAAGTTGTGGAAAATTAACTACGGATTAATCAAAGTACTGTACCAGGTCAGTGCTGAAATACATGCAGATCATTTCAGGAAAACTGATGATGCAGTCCTCAGTCACCTCCTCCTCCCCTCCCTTCCCACAGTCTGTAATATAATCATGTTATAGATTTGATACAAAGGTTAGTTCCAGACACAGAAAGTCAGCGGTTGCCTGGTTCAAGAATTTGGGGATTAGACGTACTTTTAGAATGCTGTAAAAATCAATAACAAACAAATATTATGCCTGTTTTTCCTTTTATTATCAATCGTAATACAAATCAGTTGTATTAGCATGATAATGAAAAGTGACCAGTTTTATAGACATTAAAAACTTTTGTGCAAGTTAGAGACAAAGCTCTGAAGCTATGTAAGAAAAACCCCCAAGAATTTACATTGTATAGTATAGCATACATAGTTTAGAGGCAGTTTTATTAAATCTTGCAATCATAATCACTTCCTATACACTAAATCTCTTTCTTGGTGTTAGAGATAACACCTTCTCCTCCCAAGAGGAACACCTGCCATTCCCATGAAGTGTGGAGATTGTGGTGAAAATCATAGCGCTTTTGTCCCTCTTCCCTCCTTCTCCCAACTATAAAGCCAGCAAGAGGTGAACATTGCAACATATGCTTATAGCAATTAAAGAAAGCTTCTGTCTACATAAGCTCTGAGTTGAATTAATAAACAGTATCCTCTTTTTGAGCAAGAATTGATAGACCTGTCAGCCCCAAGTACTGGGTTAATGTTCTGGAAAGCTTTAAAAAAAAAAAAAAAAAAAAAAGATCTTGGTGAGCATTTAGTTAGATGCATTCCTCCCCCCACCCTCCCTTACTACATGCCAGACTGTAGCTTTATGCCCAAGATATAAAGTATTCTTAAGCATTATATTAGCCAGATAGGATTCAACTGGAACTTCAGATGGCTATTAATATCTTACTGACGCGTAATGCCCAGTAAATGTATGCATACATCTTTCTCTTCATCAGGCCAAGTGTTCACCCAGAAATTGCAGCAAAGGCATATTAGTCCATATAAAACACCTATGGCACAAGTCATTGAAGACGTACTTCATGCTGCATCTGTACTCTCACCTGGAGAGATGCTCCTCAAAGAAGAGGAGTCAAGTCTGCCTTCACACTCCTGGGGTTTTGAAATGGAATTTCATAAAATGGACTTATCCCCCATTATAATGAGGGCTTGTCTCATACATTTCTGCTCAAGCCAGAAGGAAGACTGGAGCACTTGAACAATCACAGCTAAGCCACATATGGAAGATTGCATACCACAGTAAACTGCTCCCTGACTATGTTAAGCCATTAGAATATTTGAATGCTTAAGTGCAAGTGCATAGTCAAGTCTTGCATGACCTCCAGCTTCAAATATCCAGTTACTTGCCTACAGCCATGCTCCAGAAAGATCCAGAGCACATTATACTGGTGAAGAGAAGTCTTGGTCTTTAATTACCTAACATGCAAAGGCTGCTAGGATATATCAGCTTCAATAAAGCCTTCGGTTGCCTCAGCTACACAGAATGGCTATCAGGCAGCTACACACACACCCTCTTGCCAAATTCTCCTTGTTTGATGTACCTGATCAGCAAGTACCCATTCAGGTGAGAAGCTAAAGCTCCCTTTACTCCACTCAGAGGAAGCCCTCAAGTCCAAATGAAGCATTTCTCTGTGCCATTTTTTATTCACTCTAGTCAACCCACCTGATGTTGATGTCCATTGATGACCAGTGAAGCACACCTGGAAGTCATTCAAGGGCCCTCAAATTGTATAGCCCCAATTTAGAAAGGCATGCATTCAGGCACTTCCACCATCAGGTCGAAGCAACAGGATTCTAGTCCAGGGAGCAGTTTTACTGCCTTCCTGGTACAAGTCAGAATGCTTGTTGCCCACTGTTATGAAGTAAACAAGGCAGCTACCTTGGCTATCATGCTTTCAGTTTAACTTTCCAGTTACAGCTGAAGTTTGCCGCAAGTACAGAAGAGGAATACTGAAAAGCTGCTGTATTTAGTCTCCAGGCCTAGTCTTTCTGGAAAAGGTGACAAGCACAGAACACTGAAGAGATGCAGCATCAAGCCATGAAAAGAAGGAAGCACCTTCTTCCAAGTCAGTCCACCTCAGTGGTGGAGCTTTATCAGTTTAAAAAAAAAAAAAAAAAAAAAAAAACACACACCACAACCTGAGTGAGAACAGCACATGGACTGTAAGAACACCAGTGGCAGACTCACTGTTCTGAGTAGAAATTCATCTGTCCTATCAAACACTGTCAGATATTTTGAGACTAAAAGATCAAGGGTCAAAGCATGCAAGTCTCTTGAGCCAGCTGAGCTGCTCATTGTGAGCTTTGCTGAGTTCATTATTCATATAGCAAGGAAAGCTCTCAGTTTTGTTAGACACATTTTAAAATCCGCCTCAGAGGGGCTTGACCTAGATAAGCTTGTAATGTGAACTCAAACTGTTGTTTATCCTTTAGGTTAATTAAGGACTTAACCTTTAGGTCTCAGCAAAACCCAAACCTAAGTGAGTTACCTTCCTCCAGAAGGAGACATTCATTTGCTGTATGCACAATGTGCACTCAAAAGTGGACTTTTTCCTCTTGAGCTTCCATGGATACTTTGCTAGCAAAGTGTTATGGCTCTGAGTGTCCCATTAGGTGCTTAGGCTTTAGACATAGTAGACTCAGTTCCAATTACGGGTTCTGTAAGCCAACAGCCTCCCGGCCTCTGCTTCAAAACTGTATTGTCAAGTTGGCTTCGTAATACCAATTAATTACACTGTTCAAAGATAAGTATTTCCAGAATTAACCATTCTTTCTGCACATACAAGATAACATTAACAAAGGAATTTAACTTGACAAGAATGAAGATTACAGCACCTTTTATTTAGTACAGTTTCCCCAATCCAATGAGTTGCCTGACAAGTTGAACTAGTTATGGAAGACAATGAGTTTGCAGTAAGTCCCTGTGAAACCTCAGACCAACAGAGGTTCCGATATCTAACACATCTTACTTTTTTCAAAGTTCAGAAGTGGAATGCACAAGAGCAATCTAGTACATGTTAAAAAATGTTTTCCAACCTCATATTAGAATACTAAAACTGAACAGCATTTGCTACTCCTTCACCTCAAAAAGAAACAGTATTTGTTAGTTTAGTGCTGCAGTGTGCTTCATTGAACAGCCACACAGCATATTCCTTTCACCAAGTAACTGTGTTTTAAGCATCCAGTTAAAGTAGTGATTATCTTTTGCTTGTTAAGTCTCTCTACTCCTTCAAAACAGAAGATAGCCATAATTCATTAAGAGACTCCACAATCAGAAGAGACAGTTACTTTCCACAAGCGCCAGAAGTACTGTTTGGCACTGCACTTAATTTAAATCACATCAGAAAGCTCAGTTCAGTCAGCTGACAAGAAGACCTGCTAAATACTGACTTCTCTTCCATTTCTAGGCTGGTTTTTCTTGATCAATATGTGACCACCATTACATACCTGACAGCAAAACTCAACATGCATCTCCATGTGCTAGGTTGCTGTGCATCAGAAACAGTACATATAAAATTAACAGTGTATAACAGATATGGCAACTGCTTAACTTCATTTGCTTTTTGACACCATACAACTCACTACCCAGCTAATCATTAAGAGGTAGCATGTATGCCTCACCTATTCCAAGTCATGATTGTGTGATGTGACCCATCCTTACTCAAAGTTTTCATCTTCAGTGAGACAAGGGACAGATGCAGATGTTCCCACATTTCCAACATGATCACAAGTGTTCCAATATAAACAAGACCAATGAAATCAACACTTTGATTTTCACTACTCCAGTACCAGGGAGAGGAAGGATGATGGATGTAGAGTGAGTGTAACCAAGCCTAGCCTCAATGTATGGAAGAAACTCAGGACAGCATTTCAAGGAGATGGTGATAATGTTATTCCTTTTGAAGAAAGGCTTATAGTCATTTTCTCACCCCATACCACTAATTTAGGGATGAGAAGACAGACCAGTGGGGAATGCATCTAGCCAGTATTTAAATATCAGTTTCTGCATTGCCTAAGTCTGAATTGAGTCCATAGGCTTGATTCATGAACGCTGTATTGACTAGACAGAACATGGAAGAAAGTTTGTTTTGAGTCGACTCTTGAGTGTCAGTTGCTATTTCTTACATGGAGAGTGGGGAGGAAGCCAGCAGATTTCAGTGTAAGAAATACCAGTGACAACTAACAGAAGATGGAGACTCAAACCCTTTACCACATCATCTAGCTTTTCTGCAGTTTGCAACATCAAGAAGGGCAGCAACAGTGGGGAAAAAATGTTTGAACCTGAACAGCTGTGCTTGTTAAGGCTAGTAGAGGTTCAAGAGAAAGATTAAACTAGGAAGGTAATATGAAAGTACTTTGTATAACCAAGCAGATGGATTGTAGTTCTGAAACTGTTTCTAGTTTTGAAAGACACTGGGAAGACTGACCCCATCTCAGTTTAAGTGGGCATAGGTTTTGTTGGATACCAGAAATGGTTTCAAAGTTCTGTTTTCACATTTTGAAGGTGTGATATGAAAAGCAAAGATAAGGGAGTCAATACAGACTTCCTTTCATGAATCCAGCCCTATATCCTTAGTGGTATCTTATCCATGCCACCTGTAGATAGATATTTACAGTTCCCAAGCATCACAGTAAGCAACATCTTTCTTTAAAGCTTTTCTTGTTCTTGCCACTTTTCTTGCCATTTTTGTCTTTGTTTTCTGACATTTTCTTTGCTCTGATTTCTCTCATTAAATCGAAGAATACCTAGGAGAGAAAAAGAAAGATTAAACAAGATCTGCCACCAGAAAGCAGATAAAACTACTGTATTCAGCAGCAAACAAAGATGTAGCACCACACTGTACCTAATAAAGCAGAATTGAGTCTAGACATAGATACCAGTGAAACTCAACATCAGAATTGGGTAGCATGTCAAGCAGTGGCAAGAAGTAGGACAGACTTATCTGGCTACCAAATCATTCAACAGCCCCGTTTTAAGAGCTTTTTATTGAGTATCAGTCTTGCCTAACAGTAGCACTCAGAGTTCATGAAAATGTTTGTCTGTGCCTAGCAAACATTTCCAGGCAAATCATTCTTGTTAACTGTGTAAAGGACTTAATGCAGACCTTTCCATGTAGCTATAAGCACACTCTCTGCTAAGTAGTATTCTGCCTGTTTTATAATTAAGAAGCTGCAGCATTCAATTGACAGTGTCAGGCACAGAAAATTCTCAAATTATAAGATTCAGAGAAAGTCATTACTCTGAAGTTTTCACAAAAATTCTGGCCAATTTCACATCTGTACACCTGATGTCTAGGTACGTGCCCCTTAAGATACAACAGCTGGTTTACTGTAGAGAGTTATTGGGGAAAATATTTTTAGGATTAAATAAAAAGAGCTTAGTATCACTATAGAGTTCAGCTTTTTTTTTTTAATAGTGAACTACACAGGTCTTTGGTACTTGGAAACGAGACCGCACTACTGATCAGAAATAGAACAGTTTATAATTCAAAACCCTCTTATGTTTTTTTTTATTCTGCTACAGTGTTGATGCACAATCATCACAATGGCTGATAAACTGTCCTAACATACACAAAACAGTGCTTATATAGATGATAAACAGTACATCAGACAAGCTAGCTAGGGAAGACCTATGAGAGCAAGTCTAGAACACCATGCCAGTACACTGCAGACACAACTACATTGCTGTTAGTCCCAACTGATCAGAAAGCTAGTCTAAGTATAAATAGGCTAGGCATTTGCTAGTCACACAAGACCGTTCATAGGCAAAAGCAAGCCTAGGTATTAGTGTTTTACTACATCACCCAGTTAATACATCAGACAGTCTGACTTTCTAGTAACATTCCACAAGTCAGAATGGTTCTTTATAAAATTTAAATTATGCTATGTCCTTTATAACTGAAAGTTCTCAATTCAAGAGTTTTGTATATGCTACTTAACCATGAATGAGAGAAATAGAGTTCCTCCTAGGCGACTTATGCACCAACAGCATTTCAATTAATAAACTAATATAGACTAGAAGAACAGAAAGCTGTCTTACAAGAGCTTGGAGTACAACTAGCAGCAAATTTTCTCTGTCCAAAGACAAAACTGCTTACAGTTTGCAATCTTTAAACAAGTGTAAATTACCAAGGCACACCTTTGGAGTCCTTAAGGGGCCCAACAAGTAATTTCAGACCATCTTCTGTGAATTGGTGAAGTAAAATGGCACCCTCTTCTTCAAGAAACTCCCACTATACACAGAATGAAGGGGAGGCTTGAAACTGATTTTTCCCTACTGGGCAAACACTCCATAGTCATAACTCATCTCCCTTCCAGAATAACCTACCATCACCACCATTTATGCAAGAAGCCAGCAGCAGAAACATGGCGAGAATGACTGTCCTGGACAAGTCAAAACAGGACAGGGATGTAGCGAAAAGAATTCTCCTCACAATTCAAAGTACTCTTGGCAAAAAACAATGAAGTCTTTAACATTAGCCACACCATATGTAGCTTTGTAGGAAAAAGGGGGGACAATTTGTATGTGTCTATAGCTTGCTATTTATTGCTGTTTTAAATAACAGGACACAGCCTATAAAGAAAATAACATACTATGTGAAAGCTATTGGTTCAGGTACAAACAGTCAAGACAGAACAATAGCATTAACTTGTACTGGGTCTCTGGCACCCCAATCTAGGTATTTGTTTAAGTGTATACATTCCAGTAAGTTAGTTTATTTTTTGTAATCTAGACTTTCAGAAGCCTAACTGTGGATTTGCTTTTGTCCCAGTAAGAGTCAAGAATTAGTCACTCAGCTACTAAACAAGTAGTAATGATCTAATTGAGCAGATGTCATTTGTCTTACCTTATCTACATTCGCTCTAGTTTTGGCAGAGGTTTCTACATACTGCACACCCCACTCCTCTGCCTTACTTCTAGCTTCTTCTACAGGCACTTGTCTGCGCTCTTCCAAGTCAGATTTGTTGCCCACTACCAGTAGAGGGATTTTATCCTCTTCAGCCTTCACACGCAGGATCTGTTCCCTAATACATCAAGTATTCAAAACAAAAATATGTTAGTAGCAGCAACAAAACCCCCAGCCCTATCAGGAGTGGATCAAGTGGTCTGCAAATTACTATTTTTTACAACATTACATTTCCCAACAGTTGAACCCACAGTTTAAAATTATTTCAAGTTTAACATACTAATGCTATGGGCTTTACACTAATAAAAGCTTCACACTTCCAGGAAGGCAGTTTTACCATTTAGTTAGTAAGTCTACTACCCAGGCTCTAATAAAGCAGAGCTGTATGGCAGAAAAATCAACTCACAACAAGACAACCCTTTTCCTCATTCAGATGTGAACAAGTGCCATGTTTGCCAAGTTTCACCTTGGCATTCAGTCACCGTCTTCAATTTCCAATCTACATCCCACTTGAATATAGGTCTGGACAACATCAAGGCTTTGGCAAGGCAGTAGGTTGGAAACAGTGTAAGGTAGCCAATTAAGAATCTTCTCTGCCAGCTACTTAAAGTTTACAAAGGAGAGAGTTACCAAAGGAGAGAGTTACTAAATAGTGCTGAACTGAAATACTAGCCACCTTCCTCCTCCTCCAAAGACTCCCAAGAAAATATTTGGCCATCAGCATTAACCTAGCTATCTTCTTTCATTCTAAAAGGACCTACTGGCATCCAGGAAAGGAGACAGGGTGATGCTGCAGGTCAGTCTCAAAGTCTGTGCTATTATTGGAGTAAAACATGGTCTGGTTTCAACTCACACATGCTGCTGTCCATCTAGGACTCTGGAAGAACTGTACCAGTCTACAGTTATTTTTAGATTGCTTCACTTTGTTATGAACAAGAGCCAAACTAGGCATGAGCATAGTGCTACAACCCCTCATCCCACTGAGCTACCACGCTACTTCAGATGCTTTCACTTTCCATCCACAAAGTAGCTGAATATATGTAGAGTACATGAGAATCTAAAATAGTGTTAACACTGAAGCAGACATTCTGCTGTTGCATTCAACTGTACCTTCACACATTTTCCAATTACAGAGGCACTTAAAGCAAACACTGAATGCATAGCTAGGAGAGCTAGAGTTTAATGACAAGCCTGTAGTTCATTCAGTATTCATAGTTTAAGAATTCTGGAAGTTACAGGATCAATACCACCAATCTGTAGTTTAGCCTGAGATGCTGGTGACTCATACTACCCATCCCCCTGCTCCTTCCTGGGGAAGAGTTTTCCAAGGAGCTGGTTCTTACATGTCAGCTTAACTTCATTTAACTATTTTCACTACTTGTTCATTTCTGACCCATTGGAAAGTAGGAGATTCTCCATCTCAAAGCTTTAAGGTCTTTCTTGCTTGTCTTTAGGGCTAGCATTGCTTTTTCTTGTTTTGTTGTGCTGGAATCTTGAACTAACAGTTAACCTAGTTAGACAACTCTGACAAAACCCCACAAACTGCCAAGATAAACACTCTTCCTTTTCATCCAAAGCCTTAAGCCTTGGGTTTAACCTTATATTTCACTTAAATGCGTGAGCCAAAACCTAGGCTGGGTACTTCCAAGTGTCTCATTTTCTTCCTGTTATTTGAAGAGTATCTGACTTTTTTCTTCCATCTTATACTAGGAAGAGTCCAAGTACTTAGCTTTACAGTTGAACTGTTGTAGGGCTGCATCTCCTTTAAGTGCTCCAGTTAGAGCAAACTAAGCAGAACAGCTCTGCTTGTGTGCCCCACAATGATCAGCCTTCTGAAGTCTAGCAAAGTCACAGAAGTATTATGTGTATTTTATACCTCTTAGAAGATTATGCAGTCTCCTACTACTGTTGGAACAGCATAATACATTAAGATCTGGACCAAAATCCTAGAGTACAAGGGAAGTTTGCTATATCTTTAAGAAAACCCTAGAAATCGGTGTCTATCTTAGCACCAGCACTTGTACTACCAATTAGTATCCATTAACCTTGTACCACTGAAGCAAAGTGAACATAGGCCAGACTGATAAAGAGCTTTTATTCTGGCAAATATAAGGAACTCATAACGCTTTCCTTCTGTTTTGGGAAGTTTTACTTCAAGTTGTACAGCTGTCCTAGGAAATATCTGGATTACCTTCTACACTGAGGCAACAGTTATTATCAAATAAGAGTTAGAACACTTACCCTGAAGAACCTGGCTACAAGAGTTCTGAGACCAGAACAATGGAACAAACCCCTTGTTTCTCTTTTACACTACACAAGCAGTTTCTATGCTCAGTCTGGTGCTGATTTTTTACATTAGAATTGCCAATCCCAGGAAGAAAAATGGAAGCATTTACTACTACTGTGTGTCTTTCTAGGAATACATCTGCCTACAATAGCACTGCTTGGCTGCCAACCCTTGTTTGGCAGCAATCCATACCTGAGAGTGGAGACTAATCCTTCCTTTCCTTAGAGCACCTGCTTCTAGCAGTAAGCAATACAGTGTCTGAAACCTGGCCAAAAGGCAGACTTAATTCCAGAAGTACTGCTCTAAGATAATTAAACTTCACATCCACAAAGACTGAAAATTGGCTTGAATACACATGGTTTTAGGAGTCCAAGAATCTGTTACTTGCCTGAAGTTGCTGCTGGCATAGTGTACTTATAAGTTGAAGGCACGAAAACAACTAGAGCCAGAGCAGCTGGATATCGTGGTTTGAGTTACCAGTTACTGAGAGCAAAATGGTTGGGTTGCCACTTCTAATGACCAAATGATAATGGACAAAAAAGCTACGGCTCTTTACCCTAAGAATTGTCAGAGCAACATAGGAGCCAGTTATTTCCCTGGGAGAGAAGCTACTTACCGAAACTCTGCTGTTGCTGTAAAGGATTCATGCTCTGTTATTGAGAAGACTAGAAGAAACCCTTCCCCACTGCGGAAATAGTTATCTCTGATTGCTGCATAATCCTCCTGTCCTGCTGTGTCCAGAATGTCTATCTGAACTTCTTCACCATCCAAAACTACTTTCTTTCTGTAACTGTCAGCCTTGGTAGGTTCATAGTCTTCTACAAACTGAAGATAAGACAGGGATTAGTGTTTAGAATTACTGTCAAATGGTCTCAGCATTTGTACATATCCATCCTCTTTCACTTTAGCGACATATAAATTCCCAAAACCTCATAATTCAGTCAGCTACTAAGTTCCACCACTTTTTTAGTTTTACTATAAAAAGCAAATTATTTAAGCACTTAATACATCAAAGAGACAGTCTGCCTAGTCAAGAGAAACGGTCTTGCTACATGAGACACTATTCAGCAACTTCAGCACAATTTAAGGGACAAAGATACAGTATAAACTACCTGGTGGCATTATCTAGATCTCCCACTTCAAGAGAAAGCATTTGAGTGTACTTCAGGTACAGCTATCTGAAGCTTCAACAGGTGTAGATGACAGCATCCAGCTGTTGAACACTAAAACCTACTCTAATTACACAGGCGCATTTCTTTAGTCCATTAAATATTGATCAGACCCACAGAGCCACTGCCAGTTCACCTTGTAGTTCTGTGCTGATGGCACATGTCCAACATAGGCTCCTTTACCTTTCTACTGCCTTTCTCTCAGCCTCAAGGTACAACAAAAGGCTATGTGTGCCATGAGCCTGATTACGCTGACTGGCCTATGCCACCTGTTCAGATATTGCCATCATTACAGTACATGTGGACAACCTACAGACAAAAACTAACTTCTGAACTACACAATCAGTATTCCTTCACATACTTGCCTGGACTGTCTGACCTAGCTTCCTGCATTCCAGTATGGAAGAATTCATGCTATGAGCATGCCTATGGCATCATCCAGCTCAGAATGAGCTAGAATCCTTACTTCTGACTTCAACTTTAACTGGCCTAAAAGAAACTGCAACAAAATTGAAAGTTCAATGCCAACTAGTAACAGCCTCTGTATGCTCAGACAAGCACATTCATATTCTTCATGTCTTCTTAAGACTGTTCTTTCACCAATAAGCTTTAATTTTGTCACCCTTAGCCAAAGACATTCCCAGAGGGCACCCTTCCCAGATTCTTACATTCTTCTCCTGCCAGTAAGGTCACCAGGTCTTTTGCTACTTACACTCAGTTCCACCTTCCTGCTAAAAATGTTTAGTAAGCTGTATCCATTGGTGCTTTAAGAGAAATCAGCCAAAAGCTACTTACCTCATCATACATAAATTGAAGAGTGAGTGCAGATTTGCCTACACCTCCACTGCCAACCATAATTACTTTGTGGAGGGCCAAAGAACTCTGGTTCTTGCTCTTGCTGGCAGCCATTGTCCCGCTTGCCACAGACGAAGCGCCAGGCAACCAATCAGATCTGCAGACAGAAGAAACAGTCGCCATCTGTGACACTGGTGACATCATGGTAGCATGCAGGTAAGGCATCTCACTAAGGCCAAAAGACCAGTTTAAAACCTTGCCCAGCAAGCCTGAAGAATGGGCCATTTCAGTGCACTGGCAAGCAAACCACATCACTGACATCTAAAGTATGAGCAGGAATGAGGTATCAGAACAAATACCTTCTCTTTGTGACGCCAGTACCGTTAATAAAAGTGCCAAAGGCTTCTCAAAGCAGCTACTAGCTGAACAAGCTGTTCTTATTTGTAAACACATCCTACATGACTGCTATCTAGAGCAGTTTCCAAAGGAAAAAAAAAAACACAACACTTTCTCAAACAACATGAAATTAAGTGGTTTTATTGTTCTTGTGTTAAGGCTTTACACCTTTCCAAAATATTTCTTTAATGTTGATGCAGCTTAGTTTCAACCTGGAAGCAGGGCTATACCTTAGATCTGCTTATAGGTAGGAAGATTACTTTTGATCTCCCCTCTACATAGGCTAAGAAAAAAGCAGAGATACACAGTAAATTCTGGCAGGAACAAGTTGCAAAAGCTTCCAGCTGAAAGTCTTATGACATGGCATTAGCATTTATTTTATACTCTTCCTGCCTTTTGATGCTGCAAATCTAATTTGCTTTTGGAAAACAAAAATCATGCCTTACTGCAAGAAATTCTCAGTTCCTATTCTTCTCATGATGTTGCAAAGCCATAGAAGAGTAAGCCTCAATAAACAAGTACTAGTTAACAAGCCTTTGTGTACCACAAAAACTGAGCAATTAACTGCTGGAGACCCTCTTAAAAACAATACTACTTTAAGAGTAGCTGGGCACAATAGTTTCAACAAACAAGCATCAGCTGCCACACTCTGATTAGCACAAGATCAGCAGCTCTAAGAACAGCACACTGGGGACAAAAGCAGAAGTGACTGATAAAGGAGAGGTGTCACCAGTCAGGATTTCAACACTGAGAAAACCCCCAGAGATGTGTACTCCAGACACACAGTGGCTAAAGGAAGATACTAGGATAGTGACACTTGTGTCCTTGCAGCAGGACAACTAAGGGCCCCAGCTGTTCATAGCCTGGCAGAGTGCAACAGACCTACCAGGAATCTCAAATTTGCCTGGATGTGATTACTCCAGAAAGATACTGGAACTGCCACACCACCCCATCAAGCTCTACTGGATAGAAAGAGAGGCCTACAGTAGAAATTAAAGCACTATAACGGAAAATCCTTCAGGATTACTAGCTGCCCTAAACAAAATTAACCAGGGACTAAAGGATTGTCAATCTACAAACACACCATAGGATTATTTAGCCTGGAAAGGACCTTTGGATGTTGTCCAGACCAAACCTCTTCCTTAAAGCAGTTTTCTCCAAGCAATCCAGTTTATATGCCCTGCATTTTAAGGTTGACAATTCCACAACCAGTCTGAGCAACCTACCCTGGGGTACACTGATTGTAAAGATTTTTTCCCCCCTTGTCATAACTTGATGTTCTGAAAAGCAACAAATCAAGCTAAGTTCTCATTGACTACTGCATACAAGAACAAACATGCCAACAATCAAGAAGTGCCCTCAGGACAGCATTTTTCAAACATCTGAGCAGTAGTATTTTTCCATGCACAGTATTTTACTCACACCTGCTTGCTACACACATTTGGTATAGTAATGCAAGTTAATCATCTTTAAGCATTCATTCTGTGATAAAGACCGGTACGTGAAGACAGATATTTTCCTCTGGTAATCTTCTACATTATGTTATACATCAGCTCCCTCATCCAGGACACTCCTTAGTACATAAGTGAGATGCAGTAACTCCTACTTTGAGTCTCCCTGTACAGCAAACACACACATTTGTGTTGGGGACAGTGAATTCAGCCATTACCCCAGAGATTCCAAACCAGACAAGGATTACAAGCTTGATTTTTAGTTCTTAGTCACCAGAGAAGCAAGAGGGGAAGAAAACAGAGCTGCCTGCCAGGGGAGTGTGGAAAAACTGGTAGAAAACACAAACAGGTGGCATCTGAACTCCCAAAGTTGTTGCTGAAAGGTTTTCTTTGCTTATGGTCCAGGTCTTCTACAGATGATAATTCAGCTTGCTTGGACATACGACACCCAAGGCATAAGAGCTACAGACTGACTACACAATGAGGTAGTCTGGGGACTTTAAGTGTTCCAGTAATAATACAGCTTGCTCTTAAGTTGTAGAGAAGTTTATTTTGTCCTAGTTCAAGAGTAGTCTGGCCTTGACAGAAGTGGATAAGCTGCTTTCTGGAGAAGCCAAGTGACCCTTAGCAACTTTTCAGTGTAATTGTGACTGGTTTTAAGCTTTGGGTATTCCTTTAACAAGCATCCTAAGGTTGTTGTAACTGCTGTGTTACCTAATACAAAGCTTTAAACATTTTTCTGGCAACACAAACATAGTGCTACTGCCTATTAAGTTGCCCCAAGTCTACTGCACTATGCAACTGCAATAAAGAGATTATTTACTAACAGCCAAAAGAGAAGATAGCAAGTTTCTTTGTCCTGTCAATACAGATACCACATCTTTATCTGGTATCATTAAAGGAACAGCTGCCTTTTAGGTAAAATACTGACCACCTTGATTCAGTACAAGCTCATCATAGATGTAAGTGGAGAGAATACTTAAATCTTTCCTTCTTCATCGCACCTCAACAACAGCCAGTAGAAACTGCAAGGTCAGCCTTCATACACAGTATTACCCGACTTGTAACCAAAGTATAATATCAAGCAAAACCCATCCAATAGCATACAGCTTCACAGTTTGATTGCATCTAAAGCTAGACCAGTTCTTAATGGCCAAGGTACTTGACTCTCTGCAGAGCTGTTACAAATGCTACTTGAATTCAACACTACACGAACCCCTTGAATGTGAGTTTGCTCACAACACAACCCCTACGTTGTATGCCCTCAGCAAAATCCACACAAGGCCTCTCTTCTTTGGTGGCAACAGAGGGAGCATGGCCCCCTCCAGCCCCAGAACAGCCAGGCAGTACAGAACAAGGCAAGGCTGAAGCAGTGTGGCACAGGACAGACACGGGCAGTGTCAGTGCAGAAGTACCAGTGTTCACAAAGCAGGCTAATAGCACACCACTAGTTCAGAAAGGGGCACGGTGAGATTTTAAAAGGAATTATCTAATAAAAATAACACGAGACATCATTGGAGCTAACTGTTTGTTTACTTGCATTTCCACCTCTGCAGCCCAAGAAACAGTTTACATGCTATGGTTCAAAACTCACATCTACAGTTCCTTGAGGTTAAAAGAGATTAACAGAAATGGAAGCTCTCACCTCAGTCATCTGAGTAGTCAAGTCTGAGTTTTCATCCCATTCTATAGATTATGCATCCTTGAGGTAGTCAAGACACTAATATTAACTCATCTGTTCCTTACAGAAAAGCAAGTCTTGGGAAATCCAACCACCTAATAAAAAAAGTAGCAGGGTCTAGAAGAACCTGTGATGACTGCAGTTGCTTTTAAAACATTCTTCAGTTACCTCAGGTTAATGGAATGTAAACTTAAGGCCAAGAGTCTTAATATATCTGAAGAACCTGCTCTGAGTAAGTGTCCAGACAAGTCACCTAATTCTGTGATAAGTATTCCCTCTCATGATGTTCTTTACTTACTGGGAAGTAAACTGTACCCAAACAATAAGATTTACCCACCTCTGACAGGAAGAGAAACAATCCAAGTCAATGGCAGTCAGTCAATCCATTTAATTTCAATCTGTCATTCTACCCTCAAGTTTAACAGCACCACATTGAACTTTGTGTGGTAAGTGTCACAAGCTGTAAAAAAACCTTCCGAAATATTTTTGGGGGAATTTCTTCTGGTTAGAGTTCATCCTGCTTCAAAATAGAGTGCTAGAGGGAGCTCACGTCAGAACATAAGCTTTTTCAGGCAGTCTTTCATCTTTCAGAAATTAGAAGTAATTACCTGCTGCATCTGCTTTAAAAGATAAAGATTAAGCCATTGATTTGGCAACTCTGGATTTTTTTTATAATAGGTTACACAAAACCGTATGCACAACAGGAGTTTTGTGGTGCCAGTGAGAGATCACAGAATCATTTAGGTTGGAAAAGACCTTTAAGATCATCAGTCCAACCAGTAATGCTCTTCAGTCCAAGAAATGAAGGTTACACCAACAAACAGGTTGGCCACATGAAGCACACAATATCTACAAATCAAACCATAGTGGTTACTAAAAAGCTGTTTTGATTTAGACTTCTGAAGATCTGTACTTGGCCACAGGACCACTCAAACCATGCCACTCTCAATATAAGAAATGCAACCCTAAGCTCACCCAACTATTTCAGCCTTCCCTTGTCTTATCTGTTTAGATTATAACTTCTCCAGGTTAACTAAGGCCTCCTGAGGTAGAGAAACCTGCACAACCTTGTATCATTCTTGGCTGGTCCCTTGAAACTGAGCATTTCAAGGCATTTGTTTGTAAACAGCTTCATAAACTCCAAACTTAAGCATCAGTTTGCCAGTTTCTCCACCCTCTCCTCAGCCTAAACAGTTAAACTGTTCAGAACATTTTTAACAAACAGGATTAGTTTACCTAATGCCAAAATTCAGAGATTATTACTGAATAACTACATGTATTTCAAACCAGATTGCACTTTTACATCCCTTTTTATTTCACCTGCATTAAGTCCCCACAGTTGCACAGTCATTTAAAGAAAGGAAAGAGCACTTGTCACTTCACAAGAACAGAACTCATTTTGCAACAGCTCACACAAATACACAGGGAAAAAAACCATGAGAAACTTCACTAAGTCTACTCATTTTCCAGTAAATATTGTTACTATAATGAAAATATTCTAGGCCCCTCAAAGGCTTTAATTGGAATTGCTTCTAGTTCTTCCAATTCAGTTTGAAATTTAAAACTGAAATAAAGCTCTAAGCTCAAAATTGCAGAGATCAGCTCTTGTTCTCTCACTGTGCAGCTGAT